TCCCGGACTCCGCTCAAGCTTCCATTCAACAACCGTCCCGGGTTTAAAGTGTTGCAGTGCGGCCATGTACCTGGGTAGAGCTGCAAATGACTTATCCCAGTTACCATAAATAATTTCAAACGCACGTTTGTGCCCGAAAAATGCCTTTCTTTTGGTAATGGTACGGTCATATTCCTGGTAGACTGATGTAATGCACTCTTTGATTTTATACCTTATGGACGCTTCAAGGTGTGGAATAAGGACAAGAGAAATCAAGTCAATATCCAAGTTGTAGTGATTCCCATTGAATGTGTCCATTTCACATATGTGGGTGGGAATATATTTACTTACTTTCCACAGACTTAAGTTCTTCTTGCTCGCACGCAACATCCAATGACAACCCGTAAACCATCTGCGGCAAACAACCTTGTATACATCTGGACTTGAATCCCATACCGTCATCTCACAACACTCTTTTGCACTGTACATTTTCGTCGCCCTGCTTAGGTGCGCTTTATCAGGAAAAAACATGCCCTTTGCCGGTACCGTTGGTCTAGAATCATCCCGCATTGATGTCCGAATTTCATCAAAATCCCTTGTGAGAGTATCCACATCCGGCATACTTGGAAAATGATCAAGGTAGGGAATCTTCCTTGAATGAAACGACACTTGGGACTCGTACACTCTTGGTCTAATGGGGGGTGGAGCATACTCCCTCGTCAAATCGGGTCCTTCATTCTCTTCCTCCTCATCACCATCCTCACGAGGGAAGGGTGTGTCATCTCTGGAATCATCGGCATTGTTATCATAATCACTGTTCTCTTCCTCACTATGTGCATCTGCCAGATCCCGATTTAATATGTCGTCTTCGGGCAATTGAGTCAGGACAGGTGGTTCAACTTGCTCGTTTTCACTGCACAAACAATAAAATAATAAGCTACTCAAATTAATAAAAACTTTCCATATAGCTGTATCACTTCACTTACAAGTCGTAATGCGTTGACATTCATTGATGGACATTATCTTGTTGGTGATGACTCCCGGATGGACCACCATGATCCAACACACCAGAACTACGCATATTCCAACTGGGCGTGGGTTCATAACTTGTAAAACTCATATCTGGCCGGTACCCCATGTGGAATATATGAGTGTTAATACAAATTCAATACAACAAAAATATACATCATAACACTAAGAAAAATTGAAGTTTACCACTCGTCTTGTGGATTATGTAAAGTAGGAAAGAAATTATTTTCTCGCTCCTCATTCGCCCGTGGTGATAAGTTTAAATCAGGCCAAACTCTTTCAGCCGGAAACTGTCCGGCAAAAACTGCTCCAGAAGAACCACCCGACGACTGAGGTTTATCCCTACTATGCTCAACCTCATTATTGCGAACGTCTTCGACCTTGACGTACATTTCCAACATTTTTATCACAAAAATTCTCGGTATTCATCCGGAGTCCTCAAAGTTTCATCATCGTCAATGTTAAACTCAGCGTAACAAGCAACCCCTTGCGGAGTGACGGAATACGGATATCTTCCGATTACTTTAAGGTTCACCGAACGTTTTCTCACACTCATTTTATTACATAACAACGATATCAATCTATCGTACTCCATTGTAAGTGGCAACTTAACATGACACTGTGGAGATAAACTATAGCTCACAG